GTCCTGACCTGTTACAATGAAGACTGACTTGCTATGTGGGATTACACCAGAAGCTTGCAGTGGAGTAATGGTAAGGAAATCAAGCAACCTTAAATATCTCGGCTGTATAGGAGCATATTCTATTGCAGAAGACCTTCCTATGAAGATCATGGAATCAAAATGGGACATTGAACTAATACTTGGACTTTGATATGAATTTCTTTAACAATTTTCTCTGCAGTGCAAGTTATTAAACTAAAGCTACTCTATTTTCCAAATGTGTTGCAACAGAAATCCTTCATAACTTCTAGCATGGTATCTTAATAAAGAATAAAGTTCTTCTCTTTAAAAAATCTGCTCTAAGTAGATTTTTCCCCTATGTTTTTTTAACTTAAGGATCCCAGCAGTGGTATTCTGAAATAATTCTCTTGAATTTGTGCATTTAAATTTTATTGCAGTGGTATAGATGAATGCCATTGTTGGTATCCTTAAATCTTATTTCTGCTCACCAAGGTTAATCATGATTGTCTATATCTTTTTTTATAGTAATCACTTTTGAATTGTGTTTCAGATATGCAGTTTCAGGTGTAATCATCAGAGCTGGTTAGTCAGGCATTCCAGATAGTGGTTCTTTTCAGAACCTTTTTTAAAGGGTTGGTTAACTACCTCAGTAGCAGAGGATTGAACTATACCCTATCTGTACTGTACATAGAAAATCTTTGTAGATAAAAGCAAGGCTTGTTAAATATGATATGAGGGTAAGATTTTAATATACCAAATGTAACATTCTTAGTTGCCTTTAGTTTCAGAGGCTTGTAAGACTTCCTCATGACCATCATAACAGGCCTTGCTTTTGTCGTATTTTGTGGCTGAAAAAGCAGCCTTGCTTCTTCAGATATTGTAGTTATTTGGATGTATAATAGTTTAGCAAGATGTTACTTTTGTAAGACATCAGATGTTCAAAAAAAAAAAAGTGCATCCGAACTTGTACTAAAATACTGCAGTGTCCCTTTATAAAAAGTCAGACTAAAACTGACAATTGTACAGCAAAGCCTGACATTTGGATATTTTGAAGTTTTTTCATAAATCATAGAAATTAGTATATGGCTGTAGTTTAGCTTTTTAGGTAAAAGGTATGTTTCATTAGTGCATTTCTTACTGCTGATCACTGCAAAAATGTGAATCAGCTTTCCATTTCTTATGCAGGTCACGATAACTTGTAGAGTAGAGTACAATCATTTGTGCTATGTTTTTAATTTTCTAAAGCACCTTGATGACAGTGAGTGTTCAGTGGTGAAGCATCCTCTATTGAATCGCCCTCAAAAAATTTTTTTGCCAAGTCCTAAGTTGATAGCTTAAAGTCAAAAGTGAAATTATAGTTTAATATTAGGACTTGGTATAAAGAAATCCCTTCTCCCCTTCCCCAAAGGGATACTGCAGTTATATCATATACCCAATAGGCACCACAATGAAGATCAGAGCTTATACTTAATTAAGGTTTTATACACACCAGTTCCCCAGTAAATGCAAATTTAACAAGAAAATTAGACATGTCATATGTTCAAAATGCTCATGGCAAACAATCATTTTGCATTCCTGCAAATAAAATTGTTTTATACTGTAAGCTGGAGGCGAGTGTAACTTATTTTTGTAATAAAGTTTTTATTTTTTTTATGTGTCATTAATATAAATGTGTGTTAGTGTAGAAATCTTCTGGTTTAAAAACTTAGAATTGCACACATTTCAGTATGTTTACTTGTACTTAACATAATTTTAGAATAGTGGTTGCCAATAGGCTGTATGTTTCACGTTAATTGGTTTTTTATGTTATTTTAATAAATCATTTTAGTATGTTGTATGTCAGTTACTGGGATAGCTGGGACATAGAGTGTAATTTAAAATTTGTCAATAAGTATTCATTGGAATATATGTAAATGTGCCTTGCCGGTTATTGAAACTTACCTTCAAATGAGTATGGGGTGACAAAAATTAGTTCCTGGTGCTTAATGAAACTTTCTGCCACTGATTTTTTATATTGCCCCGTGCTTTTTTAAAGTACCTATCTCTCAAATCTTAGTGTAAGTTTGAGGGCTACACAAAACATTGACATTTCATTCTAACATAATGAGTACAATAGGTTTATGAAAAGTGGGTAAACTAAATGTAGCCTTCAGTAAAACTGAATCTCAGTGTAATCCTTGGTGCTGGCATTTTCCAATGCCAAGGAGTTAAATGATCCCATCAAAGAGGTCATTGCCATGCCTATTGGCACTTTACTGTCATACCGTTTTTTAAGGGACACTGTCAAGGTGTTTAAGTTAATTCTCAGAATTATTTGTTGGGATTTTAGGGCAGGTTTGTTTGATTTAAGTAGAACTACATTGTCAAAGTTAAGAGATGAACACTTTTGTGAGTTTACAAATGTGTTCTTAAATATTAATATATCGTGGTGGATTTCCAAGATTATTTGGCATTCTTAGTTTGGGGACTTGGGAGGGAAAACTGATGATAAAAAGAAATTGTGAACAATTGTTGGTTATACTTAAAGAAGGCTAATGTAAAGAAGGGTATTGAAATACGTACACGCTCAAGTGAAATTACTTGACAGTGTTCATTTGAATAACTTTGAATTCAAGCCATTATAATTGCTTTTAAAATTAAATATCATTTGCACTGTTCTGATAATGGGTGCAGTTTTTGAGCAATATAATCAGAGCTAAATATGCATGTAGTGATTAGTGATGTGAACAATTAAGTTCTGAGAAGAAATACTAACTGGTATTTTCAAACTTAAATTTCTGTAGTAAAATCCATATCAAACTCTTAAGAGATCAAGGAAAACAGGCAATGCATATAAACATTTGAATGTTGTGTGGCCTATAAAGCAATAATGCAATTTATATGGAATGTCATGAGATATGAGAAATGGAAATGCAAAAATAATCCTTTAGTAAAAATGTCAACATGTTAAGGGGGAATGTTAACTAATGTAGGTTATTGCTATTTGTGATTTGTTTATGGGTTCTTGGCTTTGACAGCTTCAAAGAATGCACAGATGACAAGTTAAAAATTTTGTGTGTATTGTCAAGGCAAGTGTCAATCCCTTCCTTGGGATGAAAAATGTATCCATAAAGCATTCTGATTGTTCAAAAGAACACTTAAGTTACCTAATCAAAACAGACGCAAGATTTTGTTTCTGCAGACTACTTGGCAATCAAAAGTAATCATAAATTTAGTTTATCAGTTTTCAGAAAGTTGATTTTTTGTGAGAAAATTGTGTTACATATATTCTACCAAACATAAGATTTTTATGGAATAATTTTCAGCCATTACAACTGAGTAAATGTTAGAAATGAAGGGGGAGTTGAGCACAAAAAGCTGTTGCACACTCATGATGGCAGTTGCTGTAGCATCATGAGAAATTTTTCTACCAATTACTGTAGGCTGGACTTACTAAAATGTTACATTTTCCTCAGCATAAAGGAAAACAGAAAGGGATTGATGGAGTGACCTGGGATATTCAATTGTATATATTTGGAAATAGTTATTTAATATGAGGATGAACCTCATGGTAGATGGGCAAAATTATCATACATGCAGGACAAGTTTTTTGACTGGTAAGCCAAAAGTCAAATTGTTGATCAGAAACAGGAAAAGATTACTGTTATTACAGAATATGGCATACCTGTATTTTAAGTGAGCAGTTAAAATATAGGCTTCATGCATTTAGAAGAGAGAGCTGACCCTAGATTCAGTGATTCTTCAAGTTCCTAAAACTTTCAAGAATACCCACTGTGACCATCTTTTCCATCTTAAGAATCCAGTGGTGGGTGTAGAGCCTAAGTGAATATACATAAAAGGAACAGACCTGGGATTAGGATTTAGTTTATATAAATTTGTCAGTAATCATACCACTCGGATTAGGGTGTGCCACTATGTAGCATAATATGCTAATTATGAGCCAGTATTTGCAGACATTTTTAATTGTGGGCAAATTAGATGGATTTTTTTTTGGGTCTGTCAACTTTTTTAAAGTACTTAAGATTGTACTTTACATACATAAATTCTATTAGTACCACAGTCTGCTTTCAGTAATAAAATACCTAAAATAATTTTCAGGACTAGAAGCATTCAGTTGGGAAAAATTATTTTTTACAAATACAAATCAGTATTAAAACATTCTGGGTTAGAGATTAGGTTTTTAATGAAATTAACAGTAGTCTGATAAACATTTAGAAGTCTGGCATTGAGAAACAAAAGCTTGTACCTGATTAGTATTTTAATTTAAAATTAGTTTTGTTAGCTTATTTTTAAATTGTCTTTTACAATTATTTATCCATAAATCTTATATATATTTATTTCATTCCTTTATCTCACTGAAAACTGTCTGCGGGCTCTTTAATTTGGATTAGATGTATGAAGTACTGTCTTTTGCCAAAAACCTCAAATTTCCTGTTCTTTTCAACGTAGTGGGTTTGTGCTTGTTTGGAGATCAGTTCAAAAACTATCTGTACTATCTGTACTGCCTCTGATGTTAAGATTTTATGTATAGCATAAGGAAGCTAGCTCTGACTATATTTTCCTAAGAATAAAGACCTATTTTTGTAGCATGTCTTAGGATCTCCAGGAGTCCAAGAATTATTTTGGGTGTCCTCCATTTCATCATTTTTCATTTAACAGCATTTAAATAGACACTTGGAGTATTTAGCTATCTTCACCTTCATGCAATTTATATGGAAACCATACATTCAAAGCAACTAGACTGGTAAAAAATAAATTCCCCAAGCTTCCCAATTGCAAGCATGGGGAGATACTTAAATCTATAGGGCTGATCTTTATTAAGTGATAAAGAAAATAACCTGGTCAGGTACATATCAGCAGATTTCAATGTATAAGTTGTGGTAATTTTGTGCGTTCGCTCTTCTCTGGGAATAATGCGCCAACCACACAGTGTTCTTGCCTTCTCTATCACTAGCAAATACCTTTTTTTCTGAAGATTTGGAAATGAGAAGTTGAGGTTGCAAGGAATTCAGGAGAGAGAAATGAACAGTCTGTTCTAATGTTCCACATTTAGATGACTGCAAATGAGGTTAGGTAGGCGCACTAAGCTTAAAATGTGTTCATTAAGCTAAGTTGACAAATCACTATTACAGAATGGGGAACTTACAAGTAAATTTAGGGCTTTAGACTTAAAGCCCTAGAATTTCTGGGGTGGGGATTGGTGCAGGGTAGTTTGGGCTACTTGATTAGTAAAATAATTTTTTTAGGCCACTTTTGTAAGGTTTTGCTATTTATACTGATAAGTGTAAACAGCTTTTCTCATTTCTGAACAGTGAAATTTTATGATCCTTGAGAAATTATGGTATACCATTAGGGCGTTTTCAAAACCATTTCTATTGCCTGTTTGATCTTCTGTGCAGATGCCAAACTAGTGCTTAATTTTTTGTTGAAAGCAGGGCTGTGGAATAAAATTATTTTTTTGAGAGAAGGTTTACATTTTGGAAATTAGTATCACTAAGTATTACATCTTTCTAAAAACATGTTCATAACATGCAGTAAAGTAGGAGGAAAGTATTTAAGAATAACTACTGGCTTCTATGAATGTCTGTATTTGACTTTGTCTTTCAAGTTGGTTAAAACAGTATGAAGAGGTATAAAGGCTGTTTAATGTTAATGAATTGTCACTTCCCAGTATTCAGGCTTTTTAGCTATTTGAAGAGTTTTTTGTGAGAAAGTTCCAACTTGCTTTGGAGAGAATTTTAGCATACTTCAGGGAATTGGCATCTTCTGTCATTCATGAAAGGTGCTCTAGTGGTGTGGTTAAAGCATTGGGCTGCTAACCACCAACAGGTTGGCTGTTCAAACCCACCAGCCACTTTGCAGAAGGAAGATGAGGCAGTCTGCTTCCATAAAGATTTATAGCCTTGGAAACCCTATGGGACAGTTCTGCGCTCTCTTACAAGGTCGCTATGAGTCGGAATCGACTCAGTAGCAGTGGGTTTTGGGGTTTTTTTTCCTTCATCATTTATGAACTCTGCAGGGTTTTTTTTTTTTTTTTTAACCCCCACAGGAGAAAAGAACAAAGGATTTAGTGTGAATAAGCCATAAATCACAAGTTAACTAATCATAGTAGGGTGTGTTGATAATTTAAAACCTATAAAAATGAGTTTTATAGATTGCAAATGATAAAAAAATCAGGTCTGTTAAGTGTAGAAACAGCATGACCATGAAGTCACAAAAAATTGCACAGCTTCCATTTTGTGTGGCTTATTTAAAGAATACTAACTTTAAATATATTTGAGTAATTTGCCCTTAAATAATGAAATTTGTGTAATCTTGCTTTTGAACAAAGTGTAAGTAATGTTTCCTGTGAGAATTAGAAAACACCAGTACTGCATACTTTGAACGTGATATTGTTAAAGCTAGGTTATCTGTTTTGCCTTATGAGTTCATTTTTAAAAGAATATTATTTTTAAACTGTCAGTATACATGTTGCTTTAATTATAGGACTTGTGAATTAGGCTTCTAAACTGATTTAAGATGTTAAAATTATAAAAGCATATATTGTGTGGCTCAATATATTTAATACTTTGTTCTTGGAGAAAATGAGCAGTACAGGTTATTTATAAAAATAGGCAGGATATGTTCAATCCTGCTCCCCATGCGTATGTAA